CTGAAATTCATCAAAATCCAATCAATCTTTCATTTAAACATTTTCATTTCGGCTCGTTGCGTTGCGCGGCATTCGCATTGAATGGAAATCCATACAAAGGGCAACGAAGAGCGGTCCAAAAGGGAGGCGGCGACGGAAATGGAGGAGGAAAATTGCCAAAACAAAGAAGAAGGAGAGCCCAAAAAGGAGCAGAATAAAAAAAAATAAAAAAAAATCCGCAGTAAAGCGCAAATATTTGCGCGTATAAATGGGGATGATGATAGATGGAAAACCAAAAGGCACTGAAATAACAACAACAGAACAGAGAGAAAAAAAGCAAAAGAAGCCTTTGGAGGAACCGCAAAAATAAAAGAAAAAAGTAAAGCCAAAGAAAAGCGGAAAAGCTTGTTGATGTAAGTCAAATTTAAGAAAAACACGCGGTAAAAAGTTTTTAAAGTGCCAAAAAGAAATGAGAATGCATACAAATAGGCTTATCCCAGGCTAAGAAATATTAAGGAGTATATTAGGAATTTAAAAAATATTTTTTCTTTAACTTTTAATTTTAAAATGTATCATTTGTTTCAATATTTTAAAGATTGGCTTAGTTTTTAACAAAAATTCTCTTTAACGGACACAACGGACAAGATTTTTACTTAAATTTTACAATATTCTTTGTTAAAAATATATTTCTTTTGATTTTCTTTTAAACTCTTTACTAAAACTGCATGTCAAACAAATTTTACAATAGATATCCCGAGTTTAGCTGAGTTATAAACATAAACTCTCTTCAACGGACAAAGGTCTTAGGCTTTATTATCAATTACTTTCAGCTGAATACAACTTTAAATGAGTTTTCGGAAAGCCCAAGTTATTCTACTTCTTACTGAGCTAAAATAAAAAGAAAATGGAAGCAGCATCAAGACTTTTAACAAACTAATATTTAGGCCAGATGGTTGGTTCGAAGCCCCAAGAAAAGATGGGGTCTCTCCGCCATCATCTAAATTAGTTGGGCAACGGGCTTCTTTCGGCAAAAGGAAACGCTATAAATAAACAAAAGCCACAAACAACAGAGCGAACTGAAAGCGAAACTTGAAATTAATTCCAAGAGGATCTGAGAGGCGGCCGTGGCAGCCGCCCACTGAAGCGAATGATGAGCCTGTATAAATATCCGGATCCGGGATCCAGGCCAACTGGAGGGGCATAAATCATATGGCCCAAATACAAATTTTATGACGCATCCCCAAACAATTTCCTCCCTCTTATCCCCTCACCACACTCTGCTTTTTTTCAGAGAGAGACAGAGAGAGAGAGAAATGCCAAGGATGAGTAGGCAACCGAGGCGAAAAGTCCTTCGAGAAATGCGGGAGGGCCACAGAGCTGGCGAGTGAGTCTCTGTTTACCGTTTTGCATTTAAAGCTTAATCCCAGCCAAGGAAAGCATGAATTTATAATTAAAAGTAAATTAAAAGTAAATAAAACCGACGAAGGAACCCATACATATACAGAGATATATCCAAGGAAACCAGTTTCCTACGCATAATGATGGTGAAAGGCTGGAGAGTTTTGGGCCAGGGGAAACAGATACAGGATACAAAATAATATTTGACCGGGACGAGTCTAAAAATAGATTCCAAAAACACTTTTCTTGGGGAAATTACCATTTGAATTTGAATTTCCAATTACCAAAACCCTTTGAAACAAACAAATTCTAATACAATATGTAAATTTCTCCTTAAAATTTTCTTGTAATCTTGATATTAGTAAATATTTTAGTAGGTCTTCAACTTGTAATTTATTTTCTGTGAAATAGTTTGACATGTATTTCGTAGATATGTACCTACTTTTCCTTATCCCCAAAAAAAGAACCCCAGTTTGGAAGCAATCTCTATCCAGAAATCAAATTGGTGTCAACGCATAATCAGATGCTGAACTGACCCCCCCATTCGGTTTCGCCACACCCATGTCAGCGGACAAATTTGAATATCTAACAAGGATGAGAGGGAAGCAGCACACAAAAAATAGGAAAAATAACAAGAGTTTCTCTCAGAAGAAGCTGAGGAAAATGGCGCCCAAAGTAGGTTAATGTGCGTCGATGTCGATAAAAATATATTGACAGTAGGACAAGCACACACCCACAGAACAGGACACTTCTTCCGTTTTTTTTTTATACAATTATATTTGAACTGAGAAAAATAATTTAAAATAAAGAAATAATATTTATGTTGTTATTGTGATTTTTTAAGAATATTCTATGATATCCTTAATCTTTCCTTAATTTTTTGTAATATTTTAATATTAATAATTCATATTTAAAGAAAAAAGATTCAAAGAAATGTTTTCTAAATTATAAAAACATATATGTATGTATTCTTAGTTTTACAAAATATATTTGAAATTCTAAAAAATATCTTTTTAATTCAAAAAATTTATTTAAAATTATAAAATATATATTTTAAATTCCAAAAAAATATATTTTAAATTCTAAAATATAGATTTTAAATTTAAAAAAATATATTTAAAATTCTAAAAAATATATTCTGAATTATAAAACATTATATTCAAAATTCTAAGAAATATATTTTAAATTATAAAAAAATATTTTAAATTCTTAGAAATAGATTTTAAATTTCAAAAAATATATTTAAAATTCTAAAATATATATTTTAAATTCTAAACAATATATTTTAAATTCCAAAAAAATATATTTTACATTCTAAAATATAAACTCTAAATTATAAAAAATATATTTTAAATTTTAAGATATATTTTAAATTCTAAACAATATATTTTAGATTAAAAATATTTCAAATTCTATAAAATATATTTTAGATTCTTTAAAATATATTTCAAGATCTAAAAAATAAATTTTCAATTCTAAAAAATATATTTAAAATTCTAAAATATATATTCTGAATTCTAAAAAATATATTAACTTCCTAAAAATAAATTTTAAATTCTAGGAAATGTATTAAAAATCTTAAAAAAAATATATTTGCTTCTTAAAAAATATACATTTTCCCACAGTGCTCTTTGTATATATAACAAAAAAGTAAGCTTCAATCTGTCGATGTCTAGGCAGACGAAATTTAAAATTCTAATTGCTCAGCTGCATGTATATGTGTGTGTGTTTGGTGTGTCTCTCTCTCTCTCTCTCTGTGTGTGCGTGTCGCCTTGCCAGACGGAATGAATAAAACATTAAATCGGATTATAGAATTTTTGCATTTCTCGAAATTAACATGTTTATCCTGGCCAGCAAAGAACGAGAGAGACCCAAGGTGGGGGAGAGTTTTCCCCCCCAAGTTTTTCAAGTTTCCCATTGAACTGTCAATGGATTTCTCAACCATCCCCACCCCCCACAACCCGTGGAAAAACCGCAGCCCCAAGTGCTTGGCAAACATTTCCACTTGGCAACTTCTTGGCATCTTCCATCGACACATCGCATGCAAATTGCAAGAAAAAAAGTAGGAATACCCCAAAAAAGTAGCCTGGAAAAACCAAGGAGGAGGGGGGGAAAACACCCCTCAAAGCAATTAAAACAGACATCCAACTTAGGCGGTGGGGCGTGTCCTAATAGGGTTAAGCATTATGTCGAGGTGTGGGCAAACTTTTTTCTCTTTCTGGGCAAAAGGCGTTAAGAGATCGATGAGAATGCAATCAGCCAAAAGGAAAAACTAAGTCAGGGAGAGGACAAGGAAAATGTAATGGCCAGGGAGATTTGATGGGGGGAAATCTTTCAGATAAATGGAACATTTTCAGGTGAAGGATAAAATATATAAAAAAAAATTGGGGATAATAAAAAAGAAAACAAGGAAAGAGGAAGGGGGTGTATCTTTGTTTAAATATATATAAAAAATATATAGGAATATATTCTAAATTCTAAATTATTATTTAACATTTTTCCAAGGAAATTTATATATTAGAATCTATGAAAATATTTGAAAATAAAGGAAAACTAATCTTAAACCAAATTAAAAACCCCAAATCAAAACCAGACAGCAAATTAGCTTTGATTTTAACCCTCTATATGTATATCTTCTTGTAAAATCTAGACCCACTTCAAATCATTAAATTTTAAACTTAAACTCCCCCCTGGAAAAAATACTTGAAAAGGGGATGGAACTTGGTACTCCTTCAAATCGCTGTGATGATGCAATAAGCAACTTGACTGGCAGCCGTTTGAAGTGCCATAATGGGATTAGTGTCTCAGTTTTCAAGGCTTTTCGATTTCGATTTCGATTCAGATTGAGAGATACTGAGGGGTTATATACCCCGATGATCGCCCCAGCAGCAGCAGCAGCTGTCGCTATCTGGATGTCTGGATATATACTCATGAGTGATGAGGGTGCAACAACACAGTTGCCTGGATCGTGGGTCCATAATTAAGTTGAAAGACGATAATTACAGGTTAGAGCCCGAAACGAAATACGAAAACGAAGAGAAAAGTGAAGAAATTGAGTTTATAATAGAGTTTATAATATTTTGAAAATTATTTAAAATTATTTTGAAATTATTATATAATATAAAAAAAATTACGTAATTTTCGTCACTCTATCGATGACAAATAGCCGTGTCTAACCACTTCACGAACTGCTGCCGCCGCCGCACTCAGTGACTTGTGACTGGCATGTGTAATTAGCCTGCGTTTCCCCATTTTCCCCCCCCATCCCACATTTTCCACCCATATTTTCCTTGTCTGCAACAACCCCTCTTGGTTTTTGGGAGGTATTGTAATGCTCTTCTCGGTGATGACGCCAACTGCAGGCGACGGCAAACATTATTTGATTGCCGAAAATGCAAATTGTCGAAGCCATTAACAGTTGCTGATGTTGCCACAACATAGCACAGTACACACACACACAACACACACAGCTCATCAGCCTGGCTCCTCCTTTTGCAAGTCTGATGGAAATCAGACTCAAACTCAAATTATAAAACCCTCAAAAGAACATAAAACAAAAGTGATCTTAGTAATCCATGACTTTCTAGTTGTCATTGCTAAGCCTTCACCTGACAGTTTCAGTTTCAGTTTCAGTTTCAGTTGAACTTGTACTTTGTAAGGAAGCACATCTGGAGCTCTATAAAATTTTCTAAAAATTTTTAAGAACAAAAAATAAGTTATTTTTGTTGTGTTGAGAAATTTTCTTACAGTTTTGTAAAAAAAAAAGCCTAACAATGATTTTGTTTTCACCGATTAACCTATTCTTTTACAACATAGCTGTGGCCTTTATAGATAGCCAATACAAGAAGACCATTGATGGTAAGTCGTTTGTGACTTGAGGTACTTTCTTTTATCCTTAAGGTACTTTTTGCGCTCCTTAAGGTTCTTTCTCCTATCCTTACTTTCCGTACTTTCCTCTATCCTTAAGGGACTTTCTAACCTTAAGGTACTTTCTCTAACTGTAAGGTACTTTCTACTATCCTTAAGGTACTTTCTTCTATCCTTAAGGTTCTTTCTTCTATCGTTAGGGTACTTTCTTCTAACCTTAAGGTACTTTCTTCTAACCTTAAGGTACTTTCTTCTATCGTTAGGGTACTTTCTTCTAACCTTAAGGTACTTTCTTCTAACCTTAAGGTACTTTCTTCTAACCTTAAGGTACTTTTTTCTAACCTTAAGGTACTTTTTTCTAACCTTAAGGTACTTCCTTCTAACCTTACGGTACTTTCTTTTATCCCTAAGGTACTTTCTTTTATCCCTAAGGTACTTTCTCCTGTTCTTTAGGTACTTTCTTCTATCCCTAAGGTACTCTCGTACCTTATCGTTCTGTTCTTCACCCTAACTCTCCCATTTCCCTAAACTTTCCCTCAACTCTTCCCCTTCTTTAGTTTCCAATGAGGCTTTGTTCTGGCACAAGATACCCATTGTCAATAGATTCATGGATATTCCAGAGAAAGTCGAATTGCCGGATCCTAACGATATCCTTTTGGAGATTAATCCCTATGTCAATGCTTTCATTTTACTGCCAGCAATTTTTAAGGTTCGTAGGAAACACTCTTTTATAAAAAAAAAGTAACTGATGTTATTTAACCTATTCTTTATAGCATTATTATTTCAAGATTTTGCTGGTCATGGTGCTAATATGGAATATTATTGTTTGCAAGCGTATTATTAGTTTTTTCATACGTCTTTTGACAATCCTATGGGCCAGCGATCTCTGCTGGGGCTACTATTTAGCCATTTTATTGTTTGTGATGGTTATGAGCTTGGCACATGTGGTACTCATGTATTATACAGCCAAGTCGCCACTATTGCAGGCAATACGTTGGGGACGTTATGGTTAAATGGAAATGGATATATACATATATAAATCTGACTTAAAACAGAGTTAATATAACAAACTTGATAAACACAAAACCTCTGAGAAGAAACTTCTAATAATGTTAATATAAAAATAAATCTCGGTGAATGAAGAAACAAATCTTTTTTGCAAGAACCTGAGAAGAATTACATGTTTACAAGGAGTATGTCGCATTAGAATTTCCAATTATGCTGCCTAGAATGTCGTGAATACAAATATCTACAAGAGGTTTTTGCGACTACATTACCCACAAGCTCTATCCTATAGCATATATACATCTTACCTACAGGTTACCAAGTTAATAAATCAATTTCGTTAAATGTTCTGCAAATACTTCATTATTTTTCGTTTTTTTTTTTTGGGGTGTCCAGTGTCCTGATGGATGGATATTACAGATTTCAGCTTTCTTCTTTTCACTTTCTGTGTATTCATTTCGCATTATTGCAAAATCCACACGAAAGGAGGCAAGTGAAATACATTTTCCCCTCTGCCTAATTTATTTTTTTCCTTTGCCTTTTGCGGGTAATGAATATCACGCGCTGCTTATTAAACCTTACGCATCGCTGAGAATCTAATAGAAAAACTGAAGGAAGATGGAGGTGGAGCAATGGCTACACGGTCACAAAATTTGCTTGCTTTTGAAATATAATTTTTCAAAAATTTTTTTTGATATTTTCTTTTTTTTGATTTTTAAAGAAAGGCCAAGGCAGTTAATTATCAATAAGTATCAAGTTCAAGAATTTGTGGCATTTATGGAGTTTATTTTCTGTTAAAAAAAATAAACGGGCACACTACGCCAGAGTAATATATTCAAGTAAGTCTTAAGAAATGAGAAATAAACAAGAAAAATCTCTTTAAATTCCTTTAAAACACAATTAAAAAATTATTTACAATTTTGTTGGAATTTCAAAAGAAATATTTTTCTTGTAAACATATTTCCTGTTCAAAAACAAACGGGCACACTAAACCAAAGGATTATTGTTCAACGCTTAATAAAAAAGCAAAAAATAATACAAATACCTTTTAATATCATAATATATATGTATATTTTACATTTAATTTAGATATAAATTATAGAAAAAAAATACATATAAAAATTACCCAGTTTTTTTTCACTGTTCAAAGTCGCTGAAGGGGGGTGTATATATTTTTCGACATCGCGGGGGTTTACAAAAACGTGCCAGTTGGGTAATTTAGGCAAAAATATATCAAAATGAAGCCAGTGAAGGCAAACAGAGTGCCAAAAGAGGGCCTCTCTGTGGTGAGTGATGATAGAGAGGTCGAGCCATTGAGGTGAGTCGAGGTGAAAAAGTGTAAAGGAAAATGCGTTTCTATTTTTATTTACAAATATACACATTTATATATATATATATATTCCATATATTTCCCGGCACGAAATTCAGCTGGCTGTCGTCAGGTGTGTATGTATATATTTGTGTTGTTTTGGGGCAAATATTACAAAACACAAACGCCTGTTTCCGTTTTACTAATTCGTATGCTGTTTGCATTTGCATTTTGTGGGCAGAGGCGAAACGGATGCCACACGAGTGGAGAAATGGCAAAATAGGGTTTGGGTTTCTTTTTTTGTTTTGGGGTGGGGAGGCTGGGTTGCTGCGTGCGTGCGTGCGACATGTATGAACATGTTTGAAAAATATCCTTGAGCTTGGTTTGAGTGCCACAAAAGGCCTCGGAGAAGGACGAGAACGAGGCCAAAGTAAACGCGAAATCGAAAATATCGCGAAATTTACGAACCCCGAAGAGGTGGGGTGGGAATGGGTGGATGGGTGTTGTGCCAGCACCCCCAAAAACCCCTCACACACACACACACACACACACACATGAACTGCGGCGCCTTGTTGTCGTTCATTTTGCATAGCTCAAAAGCAAAGTGCCAAAATGGTTTGCGAACGCAATGGAGATGGGTCCAAAAAAAAGCAAAAAAAAAAACCCAAGGGGTGTGGGGGGGTGTGGGGTTTTGTGTACCCAAAGTGCAAAAGGAAATTCATGCATATGTGAGTGGGGGGTGGGCGTGGGTAGGTAAGCGCCAGCGGAAAGCGTTGAAATGTGCTACAAATTGAATTTTATTGAAACGTGTTTGAAATTTTTCCTCCGACATTTCCACCGTTTTTAGCCCCAACGGAGAGAGAGATAGAGAGGGAGTGGGTGTTGTCTCCCCCTCCCTCCTTCTCACACATCTGAGGGAGGGTGGCAACTCTGCTTGTTTTGGGCCATTGTTGAATGCAAACACCGGGGCAATCGCCAAGTGTCGCACACTCTCATTCCACACACACACCAACCACACCCTCTCACACACACGTCCAACTACTACTAGTATTCAAAATGGCCCGGAAAATTAGGATTTTCCAAGGGTTGGCGGGGGTATGGTCCAAAACGTAGCCTGTCAAGCGAACAAAAGGCGGTGCCATCGCCAGTTCGCCGTCACAAAAGACTGAGGAAGCAAAAAGCTGGCCAAAAAGTGAGCAAAAGGAACCTAATCTATGACAGGGTAGTCACCCGCATTGCAGATGCCATGCAGCAGAGAGATAATGGGGCGGGCACCAGAGTTGCCATTGTTAAGCTTGAAGCAAGCGAGTTATTTATCACAATTAATATTTAAACAAAAAAGAAGAAATAAGGAGAAACATTAAAGAGATTATAGAATATAAAATCTAAAAAATAAAGTGAAATATCTTTAAAATTAAATAATTAAATATTAGCAATAATAAAAATTTTATACAATATTATACAACATTTTATCAATTCTTCTTTAAAATTTATTCAAAAATAAATCATTTTCTAACTTGAATTTAAAATAAGAAATAATTAAGAAATATAATTAGCTGTAAAAAAATTATAATAATACTAGAAATTAAATATTTTCACAAGTAAATATTATTTTAACTATATTTCTGATTAAATTATTAATTAATATTTAATTAAAATTGTGAAAATCGTATATTTTGTGTTTTTTCTTTCTTTTTTTTATATTTTTTTTTTCTTGAAACCAAAGGTAATTCCGTTTAGCCCCGATTCCCATTCATATGGCCTATGACCCCACATCTCCACTGGCCTTCCTGCCTGGCGTTTCATTAGCCAAAGTGCCGAGGTAACCTGGCCAGGCGACAAACGAACAATTCGACAGTGACAAATGTCTGAGGAATGAGAGCGACGAGATAGAAGAGGAGAGCAGGGAGAAATGGAAAATAATAAAATATTTCACTCTGCCTTCAGGACTTCTGTTCTGTTTCACAGCTCACAACCTACAGCTACTACGTTTTCCTATTTTTCCTATAATTCCGATTTCTCTTATTCTTTTTTTTTTTTATTTCATTAAAATATATCGACAAGTTTGAAATTAGTTGATTTGTATATGAAGTAGAAGAGCACTGAAAAAAATGCTTTTGAAATAATATTTAACAGAAAAACTGTTTATAATATTTTTAAAATATTTTAAAAAATTTTTGAATTTTAAAAGAAGAACAAATTTTCTGTAAAATATACAAGGCGCCTTTTCCTTTTCCTATTTATATTTTTATTCCTTTTCTTTCGGTGTAAAAAAATATATATACAAAACAGGTAAAAATGTTAAGCTGTGAGCAAGATGTTCGGGGACCTTCTTGGCCCGACTTCAATTCAGGTTCTCTGGGCCTGACTTTGCCTTGTCAATCGGTGACTAATGTTCAGCAATTTGGCTAAGAGACAGACACACACACACACACAGACACAACGAAAAAGCCAGAGACGGGGAAGAAAACGAAACGAAAACGAGCTAAAATGCCAGGACAAAATCGTTAAAATGTTAACAACAAACTGGCTAAAATAAATCAATGCGCTTTTCGTTATTTATTCCCTTTCAACTTCCATTTTGTGCAAGTGTGAGAGTGCCCCCTGGGGCCAAAATCTACCCTCTCTGAGTGTGTGTGTTTCTCGGAATCCTGGAATCCGCATTCAATTTGTTTATCAGCCAGAAATTGAGTGAGTGTCACCGAATGAATCAAGTGCCAAAGTGCCCAGTCGGGTATCCAGTTCCTTCGATTTATTCCCGGATTTCAGGTGACGGCGTTTTTGTCATTAGTTGCATTAACTTTCCGCTCGACAGTCAATTTCTTTCATTTCATTTCGTTTTGTTTTCGTTTTCCTTTTTTCGTATGCAAATTTGCTTTGTTTTAGCCTTGATATCCCACAGATACAAAGATACATTGACGAAAAAGCGATGACAACTCGCTTTGGCAGACACAAAATTTACCAAATTAATGGAGAAGTATGGGATCCTGGTAAATTTTAGCATTTAAAAGGGATCCAAAGAAATCAGAAAATAAAGATAAACCTAAAAAGTATTTCAAGGATTTTTTCAAAATATCTTTTATAATTCTATAACTAACATTCTTCTAAAAAAAAAAATTCTATAAATTATTTAATTTTCCGTATTTTCCTTGTGAAAAACCCAAGAATTTTCTGACTCAGCAAAAGACATTTGAATGCAGCTTGGGACTGATAACACACATGCAATAAATTTTCTTACTAATTTTTGTCGCCTCCGCTTTTTCCTCTCCTTTATCCTCTCTCTCTCTCTCTGTCTCTATCTCCTTCCTGCCTCTTTCTTCTTAATGAAGCCAGGAAGCAATAATGAATGAAGCCAAGGAGGAGAGGGAGCAATAAATCAAAAATGTGAGACGGTTAAAAACAAAGGCAACATCCGAAATATGTCAAATGATTCATATTAAAGTGCGCGGTTATGTTCTCTCCTCACTCGGTTATAAATCAAAAGATACAGATACATGGCCGCAGATACTCAGATACTTTCGGCGACAGATGCACTGAGGAGAAAATAAATGGGTGTTTTTAAAGGAATTTATAAGAATTTTCATATTTGCAAATATGATGAATTTTCCTTATGTAAGACCCTAAAATTCTCAATCGGTTCTAGCTTTTAATAGATTTAAAATAAAAATATTTAGAAAACAAGGCTTACAGAATAATTTTCCATCTTAAATTGGGTTCTAAGTTCAATTTTAAATACCCATTTATATCTTTATGATACTTCACAATTCCTACTCAGCCTTTCTAAAATTCTCAACTGATTCTGGCATTTTACAAAAGACCAAGTCAATAGACGCTAGAAATTGCAAACAGAAGTCAACGTGTTAGTGTCTTTAAAATTTCCAAATTTTTTTATATATTTTTTAAAGTCTTCTCATGAATTTAAGAAATATTTCTTAAAAATTTTCAACAGTGCACAACCCACAGAATACAACTGCACAAGTGCGTAAATGTCGCCTACGTTTGTCATTGTCATTTTCGGGGTTTTCGGGGTACATCTGCAATGGAATTGA